ATTTGTGACAAATCCTCGAAGTCTCCAGTGATGCGTCAAGATGTGGGAGTCCGAATTCCCTGTTTCAAACTCAAAATAAACAAGCACAGTTAATGACTGGAAGGAAGAGAGAGGAAAAGTTGTTTTAGATACCTATTAACTTTACCAGCCTTTCTTTCCATAAACAGCTCGTTCGGTCCATATCCCGACGATACTATCCGTGATCAGCACAAGTGAGAGACTTTAAAGTTGTCGTTAAAAGTAGAGCGGTTATTTTTAAGCAGAATTACGCATTATGGCAGTGTCTTCTTTTGAAAACAATTAGAGTTTATTTATATGTGTGTCTGTTTTCTAAATATTTATTCGAAAGCCGATCAGAAATGAGATTTTGTCCAGCACGACCCAATCCACTTAGATACCACTCTCCAGATCCCCTGCATAATGAGGTAGTAGATGGCATAAAGATAAGTCGAACTACCAAAAGCGGAGAAGATCGTAAAACGCTTGAACTCTTTCTACCGCTCGTTGGAAAGCAGAATGCTAGCACAAATGCCCTCCCCAACATCTGCCTGCTTCGTTCCCATAACACAAATAACAGGAAAGTAATTTGACAACAGGAGATTAACAAGAATAAAATACGCAATGATGTGATGAATAGAGTTGACATGGCCTATTCAGAGCACACGACGGCCCAGATTTCCGTTCAATGGACACAATTTCAGTAATGAAATGTTCAGCAAAGAAGCGGACGAAATGAGAGACGAGAAAGGAGGGTGAGAATGAGGTGCGTACCAAAATTCTCCTTCGCCCTTCACTAGCCCAACTTTGATGCGGTCCTCGGGAGGAAGAGAGAGCCACTCAGAAGAGCTCTCAGACCAGGCGCCCACCCAGCCAACGCGTGCCGAAGGCCAGAGGTTGCGAAGACGCACCAGCCGCACCAGTCGTGAGCCCGCCACATCGGTAAGGCGCAGCTTCCGACAATCGGTCAGACCAAAAGCCTGCCCCGGTACGAAACCCTGGGGCAGCACAAATCCGCTGCATGGACTTCCCTTCGTCTGCAAGTAGAACAGTAACGTTCACCACACGTTATTTCATCGAGTACTTTGGTCTTTTCCTGGTAATTTGTTTTTGCGAGAAAATCATAAAAAAGGGTTAATATAGGAAGCTATTCAGCATGTAGCATAAGGAGCAAACCATGCGTGCCGCTGGTAAGTTGCAAAAGTACTTGCAAAATAATCAAGGTTCTTAATGACAACGTTACAAAAATTTGATCTGTTTATAGTCTGTGTTGTTAAAAGTAATCAAACCACAGTAGCGGTTGTTCAAAAAACGCCATAATACACCTTATCGAAATTGGAACCTTATGAGATGAGCTACCCATAAAACCATGTCATTGCACCTTCAGCTGACAGATCTTTTGGGATGCTGAATTTCCTTCACAAATTGAGCATCAAAGGCTCCCAGTGAGGGGGATCGAGGACACGCTCCCCTTTCCACATGCAGTTCAGATGAGGTTAAAAGACTTGGAAAACAGCGATTGACTTTACTAACAAATAGCAAATCAAAGGGGTTGCACAGTACACTGTGTCGCTCTCCACTGCAGGTGACCAATAACACTCACTAAGGCAAATCACTGTACTGGGATGCAGAATGGCCAACAATTTAGGTGATGACTAGTAGCCATGGCCATAAGTTGTCAATACAGCTAAAAGCTTGAAGTAAAGTAGAAGATCATTTTATATGAAGTACCGATAGGTGAAAGAGAGACATTGACTTTAAAAGCCAAACAGAGTTTAGGTAATAATATTAGTCTGGAATCATTAAATTACGCAGTCCTGTTTCACTAACACATAATTACACATCTGCTTTAAGACTATAAATATGTGGAGCAAGGGGGAAAGATACGTGGCGTTGGAATATTAACGACGATTTTTCCTTATGTCAGATTATGCTTGAGGAAAATTTTGGCATCAACCGAGCTTTTTAGGGGTGACTGCAGTGAATGAAAGTTACGCTGTAAATTGCTGACAAAAAGTTAGAGTGCATGAGAGGGCATATAACACCTAGTCTTATTTTAACAATTAGTAAAAGAATTTCACCAGTAAGTGGACAAACCAATAGGAGCCTAAGAAGCACCAAAAATGACAAAGTACGATTTCAGCTACACACTCATTGTGGGACGGCTAGAGCGCTAACTTTAAAAGTCGATTCATTCCAAGAAAGCCTGGACCTAAAAATCATTGGGTTGAATTGGTTGGTGGGAGAGGAAGACACCACCGGTTGGAGGCCAAGCTAGCCAATAGGAATGCTGTAGTCAAACTACTCTGCGCTGACTGACCAATGAGAAGTCAGCTCCCTCTAGCATACTTACATCAAGCTTGGTAAATAGAGCGGATTCGCGTTTAAAGAAACTGAGTGGCTGCCACCCATCAACAAGCCTGTCTGTGTATTATAGTTAGTTCAACTAAAGTTAAGAGATTTAGAAATACTTGCCTTGATGCGAGCCGTTATGAGACTGCGCCTGTCAAAGGCCTTGATGAGAATGTCGTCGAGGTCAGGCGGGGGTCGCATGCCTTGGTCCTCTCCAGGGGCGAGACAGTAGGACTCCGTCAGACCCCCGATTATGTCGTCCATCGCATCACCTATGAGACCGACGTTGAGGGCCTCGTAGGAGCCGCTTAGCCTGTAGAGACATAAGCACTAAATGATGAGAGGACGTACCTATTTAAGCGCCTCATCACCACGATTGTAGCACAGGCGTCCAGGCTTTTATGTCTACAGAAAAGTTAATTCTGTACTATTATGAATTTCGCCGTTCTTGAGAAATTGCAATTCAAATATAAGCCCGAATACAAATGGCAAAACTTATAGTTTTTAAGCCACCTGACTTTAGTTGTGCTCCGAGCACGATGTTTCAATTAGCACTGAAGCAAAGTGATCATCAAGCCAATTCCTTAAATGGCATTGACTTACTTCACTATGTTTCAAGAATGGTGTAATTTGGTTGTTGTATTCAGATCTTTCAAGGTGGTAGCAATTGCGCTAATGTCACTTGTTTGTTTCGCCTAAGGATAGCTCGCTTACACGACACTCTGTATTTTATCACGCATTGAATGAACGGCATGACAGGTTCTTGTTTTGTATTGTAATCTTTGTGACAAGCATTGCTTTTCTCTCCCAAATGTACAAGTTAATTGGGGAAAAATAAGTGAAGTGGAATGGCATTATATGAACCACAGAAAAGACGATAAATCCATCTTTGAGAAGGGAGTTGTTTAAGTTGCAGGTACCTTCGATGCGTACCTACATAGTGGGCACAAAGTACGACATTCACTTGGCAAATAGCATCCAAATTAAAAAGCTAAAAATGGTGCTAAAACACTAGACGGCTGAACATATTTGCACAATTCGAGTTTAAATGCATGGCATGAAAACGAACACTCTTTTACAGACGTCCAACGCTTAAGCGCTGGAGTCAAATTGACTATCACATCAAAGCATATCCTTTTTCATTTGTTCATGTTTAGCCTTATTAAACATCACAAGTTCCGCCAACTATTTGGGGAAGACTGTATGACTTATCTGGATTAATTGTTGGTCACTTTTGAATGAGCTCCTCGAAAAGGGTAAATCAATCAGCAGGTCTCAAAAGTAAACCCAAAAAAACCTACCAGAATCTTACCGGACGCATTAAAATTATGTATTAGCTACCAATCAAAATAAGTTCAACGACAACAATATTTATTCCCTCTAATCTGGAGAAACAAAACCTCACCTGGCCTGTAGGCAAAACACACTTCATGCGGTTTCGCTCAGCAGATCTGCAGATTCACCAGTGCCTAGCCATTTCCACTCGATGAACGATTCACTAGCCCTGCCAACACTTGAGATTGGCATGTTTCGTTGCAAGCATCACTTGTTGCCACACCTAGCCTTGGTAGGATTTTAAAAATTTTCAACTAAAATAACTGAGATGTATTTCATTTTGAAACCGTCGTTTACTACCACAAGCGGGTCATGATAATTGAGTCAGTCAGTGGGATGCGATGCATTCTGAACGGACTCCTTGCACTTAGGACACTTGGGAATTTCTGTCTGAAGG